TATTTATTTATTTAATCAACTAGGTATTTCCGCGCTGTCTGAAACATGTCTCTATGCTTGTGCGTGCTTTGGGTGTGTGCGAGAACTGCGCGTGACTCGTGAGTAATTAATTGAGTTTTCTTTCGTTTCTTCTTCTTGTCCGTACGTATCACGGATCAACTACAATCTGTGTAACCCCTAATAAATATATGACAGACCAGAGCAATCTTTAATTTACTAATTGAACATTTAATTTACATGAAATCGTCAAATTGATACTCCATAGCAATCGCCATAGCAATCGCATACAATGAAAATACAGAATACTTATAACAATCATTAACACACAATAAATAACAAAGTGTCATATCTGTACACATTTTTTCCCAGAACGTTCTTGCGACCCGATAGCAACTCTTCCACAGCCCAGTACTGGGTCGCGGCCCGGTTGTTGGGGACCTCTGCTGTAACTTATGTAATGACAGATCTAGAGAGTAGAATGGGTAACAGCTTATGTCTGTTCTATCAAATGTTTACACTAATTCTTGTGTACTTTTCTGACATTTCATATCCAAAACTGCACATAAACAAGTAAACCAGTGATGTTTTTAATACGTTTTCAGTTCATGGAAACATTCAATCATGTGAATGCAGGCAAGTCAACAAGCAACATGCTGTTATCTGAGGAGCAATCTGACGATCCAAAATACAAGAGAGGAAGAATCTACAAAAAAAAGTCCAAAAAATGCAAAATGTGGAAGAAAAGATCTCCAAAACCACAAAACAGACTGTTACATCAAATTGCGCAGCCCAAGCGGTAACATTCTACTGCAGACTCCATGCTAACGGAGAGCTAACACCAAACCAACGCAATCATAACTACAACCAACAGCGTACGATAGTAAGAGGAGCACGGTATGGGAGTTAGGAAAGGAAGGCATGGTATGCTCAGATGAGAGGGGGGCTCAGGGTGGGTTGAGGGGGAAATGTGACCCTCTAACCTGCAAACTGGGGCCTGAGAGGCCGTTGTGCTGGTTCTGCAGGTGTGTGAATGTGTCGCTGCGCACACTGGCCATCTTGGCCCGGTGTCTCCTGAGCTGGATGAGCAGCAGGGTCAACTCCTCCGGCTGCAGGACAGCGGGGAGACGGAAGAGAAAGCACTTCAGGAGGTGACCACCAGGGCAGCGCCAAGATGTTGTGAAATTTGGCCAATAGAAGTGGACTAAGGTGAACTGTAACTGCATGTCTTTAATGACATAGCTCAACTCACTGTCTCAAAACTAGAAAGCAAAAAGCTCCTGGTGGCCAAAATGTCATCTACCAAGCAGATCCCCTACGTTTCCTAGATAGTTTGTCTGAAAAAATGTGCTCTCTATGGAAGTCTTACCGTTTTTCCATGCAGACTTGGTGCACTGACTGTGTGCGTGATGTATCCCATTGTTGGCATGGAGCTCCTCTCTATTTGTGAGGTCTGTAAAGACACAAAAATACCAAAAATGATGACGTTTACAATGAAAATTAAGAAAATCACAGTTCCATCACTATTAATCTCAAATTCTCTCTTTTAGTTAATGGATACTGTACATTTTTAAAGTCAAGTAAAAGTCAGTTTCAAAGTTTAGCACAAAACTAGGGCTCAGCAGAGCACATTTTACTCATTCATCTGTTTACTTAAGCTAAGCAACTGTGTGCTTGATTTCAAATGTGCTACAGGGCTTTGAGGGTTTGACAGTTTTGCTTAACATACAAAATTCTTCATCTAGGCCCATCTAGCACCTCAAAAGGACACAAACAACAAGAGATTTAATTAACTACACATAAATTAAAATCTTTCTTAAAATAACATTTGTTTGCTACCAGCAGAGTAGCACTGTGGACTCTGTTTCCAATGCGAATCCCACGGCACTGCATTTTTGCTGTATAATAGGTTTTTTATTTAAATACAAGATCAGAAGAAAGAGACCACTGCTGAGGAGGTTCACTGGGCGCTTTGCTTAGCCTTTGGCGAATCTTATCAGCTAAAACCAGTCTAGTTATCATCCATAGAGATATGCTCCACGACAGAAGCTATGAAAACACACTCTACTGTAGTCTTTAAGATGCACAGATAGACATCTGCAGCTGGGTAGTCGATATCACAAGTCTAGCAGTGACAGCGAGTCCCGCTGTGTGATATATATACAGTGCCTTGCGAAAGTATTCATTCATTGAATAAATTCATTTAAAAAATTCATTTTTTTCATGTTTTGTTATGTTGCAGCCTTATGTTAAACTGCTTTAAATTACTTTTTTTCCACATCAATCTACACTCCACACACCATAATGACAAAGCAAATAACAGGTTTTAACATCTTTGCAAATTTATTAAAGATAAAAAACTTAAATAATTCCATTGCATAAGTATTCATGCCTGGAACAGTTAAACTTTAGCTCAGGAGCATTCATTTTGTTTGTACATGTTACCACACTTTGAGTGAAGCTAACCTGTGGCAAATTCAATTGAATGGGTATGATTTGGAAAGGCACACGTCTTAATAAAAGGTCTAACAGCTGAAAATGCATATTAGAGCAAAGACTAAGCCCTTAGGTAAAAGAAAAACTGCCTTTAGAGCTCAGAGACAGGATTGCATCAAACCACACATCTGCATCAAACCTCCATTATCCATAATGGAAGACTTCTAAAACAACCAGGACTCTTCCTAGAGCTGGCCTCCTGGCCAAACTGAGCAATTGATGGAGAAGGGCTTTGGTTAGAGTGGTAACCAAGAAGCTGATGGTCACTCTAGTTGAGCTCCATGATATATGCCATGATATCTCCCATATGTGGAGATAGGAGAAACCTACAGAAGGACAAACATCGCTGCAACACTCCACCAATCTGTGCTTTATGGCGGTGTGGCCAAACTCAATCCTCTCCTCAATGAAGACACATGAAAACACACTTGGAATTTACAAAAAAGCACCTAAAGGACCCTCAGATTCTGAGAAACAAGATTCTCTGGTCTGATGAACCTCAATCCTAAGCATCATGTTTGAAGAAAAGACAACTCTGTGAATGTCCTTGAGTGGCCCAGCCAGAGCCTGGGCTTGATCCCAATCCAATATTTCTGGAGAAACTTGAAAATGTGTGTCTGCCCCCATCCAACCTGACAGAGCTTAAGAAGTGAACAGGTGAGGTGAAGAATGGCAGATAATTGCCAAATGCTCATGTGCAAAGCTTGTCGCATCATACCCAAAAATACTTGAGGCTGTAAAGGTGCTTCAGCGAAGTACTAAGTTAAAGGTTTGAATACCAATGCAATGTACTTATTTCAGTTTTTTTTTTTTTTTTATAAATTTGCAAAGTTGTGACAGTTCTGTTTTGCTTTGCAATTATGGTGTATGGAGTGTAGATTGATGTGGAAAAAAAGTAATATAAAGCAGTTTAACACAAGGCTACAACATAACATGAAAAAAATGAAGGGGTTTGAATACTTTCGCAAGGCACTGTATATACTGTATATATAGTTCTGATGTAGAAATGAACATTTCTTATTCTTTTCTAATTTTTTTACATGCAGTACTTATGACTTTCAATTAATTGAGAGACTGCAATATCTTTTTTTTTTTTAATGTTTGAATATAATAATAAAAAATACAAAAAAACTCTAGAACAGTTTAAACTTGAAGGCAAAAAGTGATTGAAATGCAGAAAAACTTGTAACGGTCACAAGCTACAGCAACTAAAATAGATACTTTCCCATTCTCCCACTACTGTTCAAAAGTTAATGTAAGATTTGTAATGTTTATGAAAGAAGTCTCTTATGTTCTTTTATAATTTCATATATTTTACTTTTTTTTTATATATATACATTTTTTGTGATAATAAAGCTGAATTTTCAGCAACCATTACTCCAGTTTTCAGTGTCACATGATCCTTCAGAAATATTTCTCACTATTATCAATGCTGAAAACTGTTCTGCTTAATATTTTTGTGGAAACTGCCATACTTTTTTTTTCCAAGATTCTCTGGGAAAAAAAATTCAAAATAACCTAATTCTTTCTCTTTAAGCATTCTCAACTCATGCTAATCATCACACTAATCATCCTAAAAATACTATATTCTCAATTAATTGTTATGCTGATAATATAATATGTAATGAAACAATGATTACAGCATTTTCACTAGCAGATTTTTAGATTCTGCTGTATATTTTTTGTGGTATCACTGCATATTGACTGAAGGTCGGTTTTTTCTTTCTATCTGGTTTTTGACAGCTTCTGTGAATCTTTCTGTTGGAGGCATGTAATTAGTGAGTTCACACGAGTCCTGACGTATGCAGAGCAGAAATGGTAGTGACAGTATGTTAACTTGTAAGAGGCACAGAGGCTTCTATGACTGCTGCCGCATGTGAATGTGGCGCTGGGAGCAGCGCTCTCATGTAGGGGGTGTAGCTGGCAGATGCTACTATTCGTCACACAAGCATCTTCAGCGACACACACAAACAAAAATGCTCTCTTTTAACACACCCACTGCACCTGGGAATCAAGCCCTGAGTGAAGACTGTGTGAATCCTGTCACAAAGTCCAAATCAAAGCTTGAGTAAATGGAAACTCGGTTTTCCCATAACCCTTAACGCCTTTGGTAGTCAACACTTCTGTGGTCTGAACAAAGAGAAGAACTCACCACAACTAATTTGAAATTGTGAGATTATGTGAACTGCTCCATGTTCCCTACCTTTGAGATCTGGGAACATATTCCTCTGGGAGAACCCAAACTGGGAGTGTCCACGGTGGCGAAGTCATCCAGTGGGCGCACCGTCACCCTGTCTGCGGGCGTGTGGGGCCTGCGTGGGGACAAGGACTTGGAGGGGTGGCCAGGTGGGGGTATGTCACATGGTGATGGTGGCACAGATATGGATCGTGGCATTTCCAGAGTAACTCTGAAGGCAGACGTGTCCATGAAGTCAGGGCCGGTGTAGATTGGTGCAGTGGGGCTTCCATGGCGGAACTGTTGGCGCTGCTGCCATTCGTACAGCTGCCACACCATGCCCTCTTTAGTGGCCATCCGCTCATCAGTGGACATACGAAAGTGACTAAGACGGTCGTGGGCGTACTTGTAGTCACTAGGCAGGTTGCGGGGCACTGGTGGGGAACTGCCTCCAGAGTGGTGGCGAGTGCTCTTTGGCAACGACTGGTACGTCTCCATCATGACGGACTTAGGCTGGAGAGGTGGTGTCCGTCTAGGTAGGGTGTACTCAGCAGTGGGATGGCTGTAATTTGGCAAAAAAGAGTTATTTTACTGTTAATATTCTGTCCTTCCCACTGTCAGTTAGCATTCATATGCTATACAGAGTATTTATATAAAAACATTTATTTTTTTATTCTTTTAAAATGTTTTTACTCTGGCCTGAGCTGCAAATTTATTATTATTATTA